GTAAATTCTTTGTGGTCATTCTGTTGTGCAAATGAATCCCAGAACGTCTTTCTCCTCTCCAGCTGTAACCTAGCACTCACCAGTCAACCATTCCCTCTGTTCTCCCCAGCTTCTGGGAACCACACTTAGTAACTTCTGTGAGGTCACCTATTAAACTCTACATACAGGTTAGATTGTGTGATACTTGTCTTCCTGTGGTTGCCTTATTTCACTGGACATAATGAGTTCCAGTTCTACCCATGTTGTTGCAAATGCGAGATTTCATCTTTTCTTACGAATCAGCAGTTAACATTCTGTTGTGTATTTATGGCGCATTTTCTTTACCCATTGTTAAGTGGGTGGGCACTTAAATTGTTTACATCTTCAGGCTGCTGTGAATAGGGCTACAATAAACAGGAGAGATCAAATATCTCTTCCAGAGATGGGCTTCATTTCCTTTTAATTTATCTCCAAGAATAGGATACTGGATCATATGGTGGTAGTTCTATTTTTAGTTTTAGTGTTTTGTATTTTTTTATTTATTTGACAAGTGGAGTTGGAGAGAGAGAGAGCAAGAGAGCGGGGCTGGGTGGGGGGAGGGAGGAGAGAGGAAAGTGCTTCTATCCATTGGTTCACTCCCCAAATGAGGGCTGAGCCAGGCAGAACCAGGAGCTGCATCCAGGTCTCCTACATGGGTGCAGGAGCTCAAAAATGTGGGCCATCCTCTGCTGCTTTCCCAGGCACCTTAGCAGGGAGCTGGATTGGAAGTGGAGCAGCTGGGACTCATACCAGTGCCCATATGAGATACTGGTGCTGCTGGTGGTGGCTTAACCTGCTAAGCCACAACACTGGCCCCTGGGTTTAGTTTTTGAGGAACCTTCCTGTTTCTCACAATGGCTGTACTAATTTACATTCCTGCTCCCAGTGTGGGAGAGTTCACTTTTCTCCACACCCTTACAGCACTTGTTGTATTTTGTCTTTTTGATGATAGTCAATACTACTGGAGTGAGGTGATATCTCATGGTTTTGATTTGCATAAAATTATCTAATTATTACTGATAATGAGATTTTTTTTTTCATGTACCATTGGCCATTGGCCATTGTATGTCTTACTTTGAGAAATGTTGATTTAGCTCTGTTGCCCATTTTTGATTGAAATATTTGGTTTCTTGCTACGCAGAACTTCCAGTTCCGTAAATGTTCTGGTTAGTAACCACTTGTTAGACAAGTAGCTTAGAAATGTTTTTTCCAAATCTGTGTGTTAACTCTCAATTCTTTTGACTATTTGCTTTGCTGTGGAAAAGCTCTTGAGCTTGATGGAATGCTATTTGTCTAATTTTGCTTATATCTCCCTTGCTTTTAAGATCTGAGCTTAAGGCCAGCGCCGCGGCTCAATAGGCTAATCCCCCACCTAACGGCGTGAGCACACTGGGTTCTAGTCCCGGTCGGGGCGCCGGATTCTGTCCCGGTTGCCCCTCTTCCAGGCCAGCTCTCTGCTGTGGCCAGGGAGTGCAGTGGAGGATGGCCCAAGTGCTTGGGCCCTGCACCCCATGGGAGACCAGGAGAAGCACCTGGCTCCTGGCTTCGGATTAGTGCGGTGCGCCAGCCGCAGCGCACCAGCCACGGCGGCCATTGGAGGGTGAACCAATGGCAAAGGAAGACCTTTCTCTCTGTCTCTCTCTCTCTCACTGTCCACTCTGCCTGTCCAAAAAAAAAAAAAAATGAGCTTAAAAATCCGTGCCAGTTCCAATGTCCAGAAGTTTTTCCCTGTGTGTTCTTTTAATAGTGTTGGGGGTTCATCTGTCATATCTAGGTCTTTAATCCAATTTGAGTGGATTTTTGTGTATGGTGAGAGATACAGGGATCTACTGTGATTCCTCTGCATGTGGATATCAAACTTTACCAAAACCATTTATTTTGTAAAACTTTTCTTCAGTTTCATGTTCTTTGTACTTTTGGCAAAGGTCAGCTGGCTGCAGATGCCTGGGTTCATGTCTGAAGTCTGTATTCTGGGGCTGGCACTGTGCCATTGTGGGTCAAGCCACCACCTGCAGTTCTGGAATCCCATATGGGCACTGGATAGAGTCCCGGCTGTTCCATTTCCAATTCAGCTCTCTGCTGTGGCCTGGGAAAGCAGTGGAAGATGGCCCAAGTGCTTGGGCACCTGCCCCCATGTGGGAGACCCAGAAGAACCTCCTGGTTTCAGAGTGGCCCAGCTCCAGTCCTTGCGGCCATTTGGGGAGTGAACCAGCAAATGGAAGACCTCTCTCTGCCTCTGCCTCTGCCTCTCTGTCATTCTACCTTTCCAATAAATAGATAAATCTTTTAAAAAATAGAGTCTCTGTTCTGTTTTCTTGGTCTGTAGATCTCTTTTTATACTGACAGTGTGCTAGTACTTCATCACTGTAGCTTTGCAATATGTTTGCAGTATGCTTTAAAGGGAGGTAGTGTAATAGCTCCTGTTTTGTTCTTTTTACTCAAGATCACTTTGGCTGTTTGGCCCCTTTTGTGGCTTTATAGAAATTTGGTATTTTTTCTGGCAGTATAAAAATATCTTTGGAGTTTTGCTAGGGGTTGCGTTGAATCTGTTCGTGGCTTTGGGTAGTTACACATTTTAACAACATTACTCTTAAAATTCATGAGCATGTGTGTTTTTCAATTTGTTTTTGTTGTCTCCAGTGTCGTTCATCAATGCTTTAGAGTTTTCATTGTAGAGATTTTTTTGACCTCTCTAGTTAAATTTATTACCAATATTCTTGTTTTCCTTTTATGGAACAATATGGAAATAGGATTGTTCTGTTGATTTCTTGTTCAGATGATTCACTATTGGTACATAACAATGCTAGTGGTTTTTATTTGTTGACTTTGTATCTTGCATATTTGCTGAATTTGCTTATTAGTTCTATCAGTTTTTTGGTGAAGTCTTCCAGGTTTTATTTGTACAAGGTCATGTCAGCTGCAAACAGGTGAATTATTATTTTTGAATATGGATCCCCTTCCTTTCTTTCTCTTGCTTAATGACTGGAGCCAGGACTTCTAATGATGAAAAAAAGTGGTCAGCATGAGCAGACGTCGGCTGTTGCAGACCTGAGAGAGAAGAACTTGAGCTTTTCCCTGTTCAGTATGATATGAACTGTTGGCCTGTTACATAGACACTGTGCTGTGTGAGGTGTGTTCCTTCTGCCTTCATTTGTTCAGAGTTTTTATCATGAAGGATGTTGAGTTTTATCAAAACCCTTTCTGAATCCATTGAGATTATCGGAAGATTTTTGTCCTTTGCTCTGAAGAGGCGGTATCGTGTTCTTACTGCCTTGCAAATATTGAAATATCCTTGCATTTCTGGGTTCAATCCCACTCGATCATGGTGGATGATCTTTCACATTTGTACTGTTGGATTCAACTTGCCGGTATTTTGTTGAGTATATTTGCTCCTGTGTTCATCAAGGGTATTGGCTCATAGCTTCCGTTTTTGTTGTGTCCTTGTCTGCTTTGGCTATCAAGTTAATGCTGACTTCATAGAATGCATTGGGAAGAACCCCTGCTCTTCTACTTTTGAAATAACTGTAGAAGTACTGGTGGTATTCCTTCTTTCAAACATGGACAGAATTCAGCAGTAAAGCCTTCTGGGGCCGCGTTGTTCTTTGCTGGGAAACATTTTCATTGCAGATTTAGCCTTTCTAACCAAAATTGGTCTAGTTTCCCCATGGTCTATTTCCCCATGATTCAGTCTTGGTAAGGTATATGTGAATCTGTCTGTGTCTTCTAGGTTACTGAATTTGCTGCCATATAATTGTTCGTAGGAATATCTAGCAACGTTTTGTCTTACTGTAGTGTCAGTCAATATGTCTCCATTTTCACCTCTGAGTCTCTGTCTTTGAACCTTCTCTTTTTTTTCATGGCTCATCTGGCTAAGGATTTATATGTTTTGTTTATTGTTTGAAGTACACAGCCCTTCATCTCTTTCATTGTTTGTATATTTTTAGTCTTTATGTGATTTGTGGGGATTCAAGGTTTACTGTATCATCACTTGTTCCAACTGTGGGTTTATTTGTTCGTGTTTCTCTTCTCCTTGAAGTATAGTACTAAGTTGCTTATTAGGCATCTTTCTGGGTTTTTGATGCACATTTTGATTATTATAAACTTTACCATTTTTGCTTTTGATTTTGGTGTACTATGCTTTATTTTCATTCATTTCAGGAATTTTTTTTATTTCCTCCTTGATTTCTTGCTGGATCCCCCTAATTGTTAAGGAATAAGATGTTGAATTTCCATGTATTTGTTTAGTTTCCATAAATTTTCTTCTTATGGAGTTCAAGCTGTATTGCATGGTAGTCATAAAAGATACTTGATATAATTTCTATTCTTTGAAATTTATTGACACTTGTTTATTGCCCTAACCTATGACCTTTCCAAGATACTCTTCAGTGTCCCATTGAGAACAGTGTGTATTCTGTAACTGCTGGATAGAAAGTTCTGTAGATGCCTGTGGCTTCAATTGATCTAGGTGTACTTTAACTCTACTGTTTATTTTCTGTCGAGATGATCTGTGTTTCTGAAAGTAGGGTGCCCAGGCCCCTATTCGGAGCCTATCCATTGAGGGCTAAGTGTACTAGCTTTTTGTGTTTGGAGCTATATTGAACGGGTATGTAAGTATTAATTCCTTTTGTTAGAGTGTGCCAATTACTACTTTTGACCTAAAATCTCTGTAATCTGATGAAAGTATGGTAACTCTTGGGTCCCAATGGTGTGGAATATCTCGTTCCCTCCTTTCCCTTTCAGTCTGTGTGTATCCTTAGAGGGTAAGTGAGTTCCTTGCAAGCAGCATAAAGACAGGTCCTGTTTGTCAATCCATTCATGTGGCGTGGGATGAAGTCATGGTTGTAGCTCTCACTCACAGGGGTTAAGCTACTTCCATCAGGCCTCTCACGTGTTCACTGCTATGATTGCTTTTTGCTGTGTGGTTATTTTCCTGCTCTCTTGAATAACAGACGTGTTTCATCTTCTTATTTCCGACAACACAGATAGAGGATATGCAGTGGGGTAGAGGAGTCCGGGAAATCCCCCCTTCTGTGTGCACACTGCCGTGTAAGCCTGGACAAAGGAAGAAGACACAAAAGGGGACCCCATGCTGCTGGACCTGTGAGCCTTGCGATGGTTACCAGTACCAGTTTGATGAGATGACGTGCCAGCACTGCCCCTATGACCAGCGGCCCAATGAGAATCGGACCGGCTGTCAGAACATCCCCATCATCAAACTGGAGTGGCACTCCCCCTGGGCGGTCATCCCCGTGTTCCTGGCAATGCTGGGCATCATCGCCACCATCTTCGTCATGGCCACTTTCATCCGCTACAATGACACGCCCATCGTCCGCGCATCTGGCCGGGAACTCAGCTACGTCCTGTTGACAGGCATCTTTCTCTGCTACATCATTACTTTCCTGATGATAGCCAAACCCGACGTAGCGGTGTGCTCCTTCCGGCGCGTTTTCCTGGGGTTGGGTATGTGCATCAGCTACGCGGCCCTCTTGACAAAAACCAATCGGATTTATCGCATATTTGAGCAGGGCAAGAAATCAGTGACAGCCCCCAGACTCATAAGCCCCACGTCTCAGCTGGCAATCACTTCCAGTTTAATATCGGTTCAGCTTCTGGGTGTTTTCATTTGGTTTGGCGTCGACCCACCCAACATCATCATAGACTATGACGAGCATAAGACAATGAACCCTGACCAGGCTAGAGGAGTTCTGAAATGTGACATTACAGATCTCCAAATCATTTGCTCCTTGGGATATAGCATCCTTCTCATGGTCACGTGTACCGTGTATGCCATCAAAACTCGGGGTGTGCCCGAGAACTTTAATGAAGCCAAGCCCATTGGATTCACTATGTACACGACGTGTATAGTGTGGCTCGCCTTTATCCCGATTTTTTTCGGCACTGCTCAGTCAGCGGAAAAGGTAAGTGAAAATGCACAGCTCGTCATATGTTTCAAAAATGTATTTGTAATTACCGAAACCCAATGGGTTGTGTCAAGTTGGAGGTTTTACGTGTGCAGGATTATATTTCTAGGAGTTGAGAATACTTGGGTCACTAGGCATGAATGCTCCAGGGGTCTAAAACTCATCATTGTGCTCCATTTATCTCGCTGGAAACCAACTAGAAGTGGTCTTTTCAAGGTAATTATATTTACTATAGAATTATTCAGTGTAACAAGAGATTATCTAGTATAAAATGATCTCATCTATCTAAATTAAATCACGCTATTTGCTCATAGTCTATCCCCTCTGCTTGCACACATATTTCTTTATGATGAGAGGAGACAGCCACAGTAGCATATTCTGTAGTGGGGAATGTGTTGTGGTCATCATTGTCATGTTCTGTCACTTTTTTAGTGACTGCCTTGCTGTCGACTGTGAACAGGATCTTATGTGTAAGCTCTACAGCATACTCGAGTTGCCAAGTGTGTATTTTAATTTTTTTTTTTTTTTTTAATTTTTTTATTTTTTTTATTTTTTGACAGGCAGAGTGGACAGTGAGAGAGAGAGACAGAGAGAGAAAGGTCTTCCTTTGCCGTTGGTTCACCCTCCAATGGCCGCCGCTGCAGCCGGCGCACCGCGCTGATCCGATGGCAGGAGCCAGGATCCAGGTGCTTTTCCTGGTCTCCCATGGGGTGCAGGGCCCAAGCACCTGGGCCATCCTCCACTGCACTCCCTGGCCATAGCGGAGAGCTGGCCTGGAAGAGGGGCAACCGGGACAGAATCCGGCGCCCCGACCGGGACTAGAACCCGGTGTGCCGGCGCCGCAAGGTGGAGGATTAGCCTATTGAGCCACGGCGCCGGCTCAGCCAAGTGTGTATTAATAAACTATGGCCCAATGAGTGAATGAAGAAAAGCTTTGGTTATCATTCTACCCTAGACTGCTCACAGCTACCCGTCCATTAAGCACAGCAAGCAATGCATAATGAGATCAGAGACCCAACTTTCTTGCCAAGAGAGAGGTTGTGTGTCATCCAGCTGTGAAAGTTCAAGGTTTTCAAAGTTCATGGTCTCCAGTATGTGGGGCTATGCTGTGTTTGTCTAAGATACAGTTCCCCAGTATAGTTACAGGCTGAAGCATCCATAAGTTAGGCAGCCCTCCTGTGTGGATTTTAATGTGGTTTCTAGCTCTAGGTTTGACATGCATGCTAATTTGGCAACCTGCTGTATTATATTTAGCTAGATAAGATTGATGTATATATGATTCCTGATCATAACCTAGTCTGGCTGTAGGTCTGTATATTTGCACATCTTACAAGTGTGATCTGTTAATCCTAATAAGTTGTAGTGTCCTCCACCAGATGTGGGCTATGGCAGGCTGGTGCAACTGAGGCTGGGACAGAGATCTTGAGTCCTAAGTGGCACTCTGTAGGAGAGACCCGAGTTCTAGCTTGATCAGGTGTCACTACTTCTGATGTCTGACTTTGTTCCATGTTACTTTGAATGCATCTCATTAGCATTCGAAAATATCTGTCTTTAATGAAGAAGCAGAAAGATTAAATTGGGAATGTTTAAAAATCTACAAAAGTCTACGATTCCAAGCACTAGCTGAATCTGATTTTTCATTCTCAACTTTGTTCTCTGTAAAGTCATATAAAGGATTAATGGCATTTGGCTGGTTTTCCAACTGAAAAGATATCTGTTACCTAAATTGTGTGATTCAGAAGCTATAGATTTTGGCTATCTTTTACAAAATAAAAGTGAATAGTTTATGAAATCATTCACAATTCTAATATCAAAGACAATAAATGTTTCCAGATTGTAATTTTAGCCATAAAGTAGCTAAGGGTAAGTTCTTCTAAAATACATGCTCATTGAGTATATATGTTTCAAATTCATAATGCATGTTTATTGTCTGTGAAACCAACTTGAATTTCATTTTATTTCTTCCATTTCCTTGTGGGCCAAGAGAATAATAAAATGTAAGTCAGAGTAGTGAAATGCGGTGGAGAGGGAAAGAAGTCTCCAGTGTCTGATGGTAAATTGATAAGTATTGGGCATCTTCTGGGATGTGCCATCGAGGCCTTTGGGAGTAATCACCATGTTACTACAGCAAACGGTTACCCATGTAACGTGTTTAGGACACGAAGACTTCTTTCCTATAAGTGAACAAGAGGGACAAACAATTGCAGTGTTTTCTAAATGAATGCTGTTGTGTGCTGCCTAACAGGTTCTACCTCTTCCATGTCGTTTTGCGTCTCTGGATCCTTCCGGTCTTGCCTGTGTATCTTCTCAATAAGGTCATGTGTGAAATGGCTTATTTAAAAACTTGGAAGTGAGACAAGGCTTCAGAACTGGCATTCATCCATTCTGCTTGTTCTAGGGTTTGTTGGGCTGGGAGAATCGGGCTGCGGGAAGAAGTAACCTGTGTCCAAGCAGTGCGCCTTTGATCTGAGTTTCAGAAATCTCGTTTTCCTTTCTATCTTCTTGAAAAGTGAGGGTGTTTTGCATGGTTGACTGCCACAGTTAAAGGTACTGAGTTGCCACATGGCAGCAGTGAATTGGTATATAAAAATGCACCCACCCTAATGATGGGCATATGGCAAGATAAGCATGAGCAATCCATTAAAAAATACCACTTTGCTTACATTAAACCACGACATTCAAATTGTAGAAGGCAGCACCTTGCCAAATGTTATAAATAGATCATGGCAAAAGCCATCTTTTTTGCCAAGCTAGCAACTTAAAGAACCCAAGCTCTTCCATTTTGGGGCAGATCTAACAGTTTAACTGTTTTAAATGGAAGAAATTCACAGTGCCAGAGCAGTAAAGATTAGTCAGTGAGTTCAGTAGTGACTGTTTTCTCTTTCTGGAAATCGAATTCATTTTTGATTATGCTAAGGGTATCTTTGTGAAATTTCTCATCAGTTTAATGCATCGGCACAGAAAGCTGTTAGTTCATTGCAGAAACGTCAGCACCCATGGAATGTACTTCTCCTGTCGTTAGGAGGGTCGGAGAGATCGCTGCCACCTTGATCGATCACTGCTGGCCTGGGAGTTCTTCTGTGAGGATCTTGCAAGATGGCTAGGGATGCAAGTGTGAAAAGTAGCTGCAAGAGACGATTCCAGCGTTCAGAAAGTATTTCTAGGAGACTGAGATGGTGCAGGGAGAGGCACCAGCTGGTGCAAGCACAGCACAGGAGTTGGCTGGGCTAGTGCAGAGCAGTAACATCCGTTACTATATCCTGGCACTATCTGCTCCAGCCCCCGTCATTGTCTTTGATTCTGGGTGTTACCTCTACAGGTACACATCCCTATCTTCAGATAGGGATGATGGATCGGGAAAATCTTCCAGAGGACACCTTCATCCAAAGCATCTTGGCCAGATGTCTGGAAAGCTTCCTAGGCAACCTGTTACATCGTCTCCTACATGAGGGCTGGGAGACAAGCTTCATGCCGCTTGACTCTGCCCAGGACAGTAGATCTTGGAATAAAAGTGAGACCAGAGATTCCCAGAGGTCTGCCCTGAGTCAGGAGTGGTTGTGCAGAGAGGAGGACGATAAGAAGTGAAAAAGGAAAGAACGTGAAGTAACTGAGGTTCCAGAAGAAATTACTAGAAGAGTAGTGCCGTGGAGGAAGGAGTGTATCTTTCACAAGGGCATCCGTGGGCGGCAACTCTGCATACATAAGAGAAGAACCAGGATGTAAAACAAACTTACGTGATAGGACTCTTTGATTTCCACTGGAGCATTACTCCACTAAATGACAGAATTAGGACAACCGTTGGCAAGCCTCTGACCCAGCTTGGGATGCTTAACTCAGTGGTTCTCAAAATTGTGTCATGTCTTCCCCCTCCATCCCCCAGCAGATTCTATAGGTTGAAAATAAAGCATAAAAGCCTTCCTCTTTAACAAGTCTGCTGGGAAAATGCCAGTGGAGATCAAGCAGACTTCTTAAAACGGCCTCATGCCTCCCTCCCAGCCGTAGAGGACGGCCTCTGAGCAGTCCCTTGATTTCTGCTTTTAGGGAACATTGGGGGAAGCATTAATTCCCATCCCAAGCAAAGAGGAGGTGCAGGGATCAAGTAATCAGGAGATCAGAGAGACTCTACCCAGGATCAAAGGCAGATGTCAAGGACCCCCGGGGTCTAAATAAAGTTTCAACACCAAGGTTTGGGCCAGAGACTTTGAAAAACTAGAACCAAGGCCCCAGCCCTGGGACCAAGGATAGCAACAGGACAAGCAGGCAGGAGTAGTTCTTGAGAGGCTGTTAGGAGCACTGAGCATGGTGTCATCTTGCACGTGTGACACAGTCTCCCAGAATCTGAACACAGAGCCAAATCAGCCTAGGACAAACACAAAGGGTGTTCAACAAGTTCGTGGAAAATGCTTATTATAAAAATCAAGGCATGGATTTCAACATTTTTCACAACCAAAGAGACTCAACTTTTAGTTTAGTTTTCCACAGACAGAAGGCACCCTTCTATAGGGATAAGAAATATTTGGCATGTAGCTGAATATTCCTCAGTCAGTGCCCAAGGTAGACATCACTAATCAATCCCAGCACCATTCCCCGGGATTTGGGTGTGGTCTTGAAATCCTTCTCAGCACAGCCTAGAGGCAACCATTGTCCCAACTGGATTAGAAAACCAGCTGTCGTTTATGATTTAGTTTCAGCCTCCTATCAATGGTCCCTGACACCACTTCCCATCCAGCTGCTTACGTTATTGGGAGAGCACCAATGAGAGGCCTTCACTAAGATTAATCAACTTAAAGGGAAAGGAGAGCTAAGAAAATCAGAAAATTATTGTTTCTGATCGTAGGCTGCCAACCGGCACACCTAAAGGAGCAGTCCTCATTCTCTTAGATAATATGTTACGATTCTGCCGTGTTTGATTGACTAAAATTTTCTCATGGTCTTTCACCCATTGAACTGAGTATGGCAAAGCATCTGCCCTTCCTGGTTCTATGGGAGCGAGGTTC